CCTTGAAGTTCAAAGGGTCAGCTGTGAATGGAAATCGGTTTTAGAGAGCTAGATTGTCAAGGTGGGTGGGCGAGGTTCCTTATTCTGGTTCCCTGGTGAGGGAAATGTGGGCCTAGCAGCAGTCCCAACTGGTGCCTGGCTCTGGTGGCACTTGGGAAATCTGTAACAGGACAATGGCTGTGAGGACAGTATTCTTTCAAGAGCATCTCGAAAGCTGTTCTAGGGAACACCTCTCTGAAGAGGGCTCCTTGAAAACCTCCCAGGGAAGAAGTTACAGGAACCAATGCCTGGGTGTCAGCTTTGCTTGGAGCCATTAGGAGAGACCTACTTTCTTAGCTAGAGCAGCTTCCTCGTGTTGGCATAAATGTGGTTTGCATGGGGTCACTAAATAAACAAGTGCTGACAATTTTGCATATTTCCTCAGTGATATTTTTTGTGCCTTTCTCAAGGCACTGGAGGCCCTGTATATTTAAATCAGTAGAATCCACATGTTCCCTAAGCTTGGTGCAAGGCAAGCCTACGTGTAGCCAGATCGCTGTCTGTGGGGACCAGTGGGCTCCAAGTGTCATGGTGTGTGCGCTCCAGTGGAATAGCAGCTGCACCACTCTTATTTTTGTGATGTGGAGCATGTCTGGGTGTGTGGCAGGGGGAACTGAAATGTCTTCCGCTGACTTTTTATACCTTCATATTTTTTTGTTGCTCTTTTTGGAAAAGGGAAGCCCTTGTTGGAGCCAAATTTATAGGTTTTTCTGTAAATGAGTTTTTTCCCCCCAAAACTTCACTGGTGACTGGTGAAAAGGCAGTATGGCTGAACTTAGCCTGAACAAGGAGTCCCGATGGGGACCAAGAGGCTGTGTTTAGGTGAAAAGATTTTTCTCGGTGACGGATACCTGGATGTCCAAGGAGACTCAAAGGGCCTTCAGAACACAGGGTGAATGGGGAGAAAGCTGCAGGCGCTGAGGGCGTACAACCTGCAGCTGCGATTTGACGGGCGGCTCGTGAAATCTCTGGTCAACCCTGCTTTGGGAAATTGGATTTTCATCTTTTGTGTAATATTATTTCAATCTCCTGTTTCATTTTCTTTGGCTCTTCTTTTACTTATTATTACTTTAAGAAATTATTTTTATCACCTTTTACTTTTTCTTTTAAATATCCTAGCATAGTTGTTTTAAAGCTAGCTCAATGCAAGAACCCAGAAGCCCCAAGGCAAGGCAATCATGCTTTCGGACAGAGTTCTTTTCCTCTTCCAAATATGTGTTTGTGGCCTCATTTCTCATGCTGGTGGCAGGAAGGATTACAATGTTTATTGTGGAATTAGACATGTTTATTGTTGCTTTATGAGGTTGGTGGGAAACGCACCAACTGCAAGTTTTCACCTTGCAAATGCACTTGGCCGTTGGGCTCCTGTGGGAATTGTCTTGAGGCTTCAGAGTCTGATATTTCATGGTCACTTTGCAAAGATTTTTCAGAAGCACCCTCACTGTTGCCTGTTCACCTGGAGTCAGTTACAGGATCCTTTGGCAGCTGGTGGTGGACTCACGGGTGGGCAGTCAGGAGATCCTTGGGAGCTGTGGGAGTTCTGCTACCGCAATAGGTACTGCTCTCCATATGGTGGCTGTGCCAGGGCACACCTGTTGACACTGCGGGTTCCAGGAACTCCAGACATCAGAGGGTGATGCCCTCTGCTCCTAGCACCTCCCCTAAGCCCTCTTTGTTCATTGATTCTAAAACAACAGGAGGCAGAAAGCCTTCGCTTGACAAGATCCTGGAAATGCCCACCTGGCCACTTTGCAGCCAAGTGTTAGAAGTGTCTATTCTTGGGAGACAGTGGGATCCGGCTTGCCCTCGGTTCTTCCCCAGAAATGTAGGGGGCTAGCTATATACCTTTCTTTGATCTGGTCTGAGATGTGTGCCTGTGGGATCAAGCCTTTCTCGTCCCCAAATAAATTTAGAGTGTGACCACAGTGCTCAGACCCCCACTAACACTGTGTCCTGAGTTTGTTCTGAGTCCACAATGCCTCAGGTTGCACATTTTGCCTAAGAATAGCTGGGCACCCAATTGGAGACAAGTTTAGGTAGAGTGATATGGGTATGAACAAAGCTGATGTGGCTGTGAGAATGAGTAAGCAGGGTGTGGGAGGGCAGGTGCCCCTGTTCTCTGCCATGTCAGGCTACACCTGGGGTCTGTGGGCAGCACTGGGCATCACCCCTCATTAGGCGAAGTGGAAAATGGAACTTGTGCAGGAGTAATGCAGGTAGAAAGATGGTTGGAGGAATTTAAAACATGTTGTTAAGAAATAGTTGAAGGAAAGGGATGTTCATTCAGACTCAGTAGGGACCTGGTACCTGTCTACAGATGTTGGAAAAGGCTGCTACTATTACTACTACCAGTGAATATACAGGGCGGAGCAAAAGGAGGCTTACAGTTGTTCATATAGAAAATAGTACAATAATTAATACGTAACAATACAAGAATATACTCTGTGTTTTGCATGCTCAGGACTGTAAGCTTGCTTTTGCCCCACCCTGTATTAGCTCACACTGATTTGATGCTATTCAGTGTAAACCCTATTCTAAGTATTTACATGTAATTCTCAAATTACCCTACAAGGTACATATCATTATGATCCTCATTTTATAGATGAAGAAGCCATTAATCAATTATAAATTGTGAGTTTTATTGGAAGGTAATGTGAGGAAAAATGGTGCAGTTCCCCAGAAGAGAGTAGACGTGGGTGGAGGGAGGGGGAAAAAAAGAACATGTTTTGAGTATTTACTATACGCTGGATATGGCTTTGGGAGTTTCCCATGTATTATTTTAGTTATCTTCACAACTATTGTGTGAGACAGGAATTATTATCTCATTTCACAGATGAGAAAATTGAGGCCCAGGGATGTTAAATAAATCACCTGAAGACAGGCATTTTGGGCTCTGAGGTCCACTGTCACTGCTACTTGGAACAAAGGTGATGGTGCACAGGTGGACCTGGGGCACAGGTAACAGGCTAGCTCCCTCTGCTATACATTCCCACGTCAGTAGAAATTGACAAGTTGTAAATGTTTTATCTGTGCTTGTCTCTCCCACTGGACTGCAAGATGCTTGTGGGCAGAGGCCACACCTTTCTTGTTCAGTGCTGTATTCCTCCTGCCTAGGGTTATCTGAAAGAACAGATGAATACCAGTAGCGATCCCTTGTTATGACAGGGGAAATTAAAAAGAGAATCATTAATCTCCTATCAGGATACTGAGGAAGTTTCTTGTAATAAATGAAGTATTAGTGGTTCTCATCTCAGCACAGTTTCTGAATTTCCTGAGGGATTTTCATAAAGTCCTAAATTCCTACACCCACATTAGATCCCCAGAGTAAGGCTTCCTCAGTGTGGGGCCTAGGTATCTGTTTTTTGGATTTGGCTACTTGGCAAGGGTAAGAAGCCACCGCATATGCATCTAAGTTTGGGGTTCTCTGACTCTGCACCATGTGTTTCTGGGGCTTTTGCACACCCCTTCCCACTTCCTGTTGCCTTCTCTGCCTGCTGAGCTTCGAGGCCAGGCCATGTGTGTGCCTGGAGCACAGATGGAGGTCTGGTGTTGAGTTAGCCGTGGGATCTTATCAACTGGGTATTTGCTGAGCAAAGTTCAGCCAGCACAGTGCTGTGGATCCGGGTTTAATAGATACCCAGGCTTCCGGGCTTTGATTTGGAGCCCAGTTCCTGGGGCCCTTATCGGTGGATGATAATGAACTCCCCATGTGAGTCCTAAGGGCCAGTGCTACATGTCACCCTTGCTGTAGACTGTCTGAGCAAGCAGGTTGTCACTGCCCAGTGATGGCTGCTTTTGGTTTGCCAGGACAGAAGGAGCCCTGTGTTCTAGTTCCATGCTTTGGTTCCCCAGCTTTGGTGGCAAAAAGCAAAGGGAACCTTCTCTCAGCAGCAAGGCTGGACACCCCAGGACACATAGATCACATAGATGGGGATTTGTCGTGTGTCCTGGGAAGCAAGGAGAACGTGGGAACCATTTGCTCCAGTCTGTTGTGAAGGTCCAGGAGAGGTGCAGAGAGGATGGATGGAAGACAGCACATTTTAAATAATCATCCCATCAGTTAATCAACAAATTACTTACTAAGCTTATTATGAAATACCACTTGGGAAGGTATAGAGATCTGATCTTGAGAAGTTTATAATCTAGTTAGGGGCATCAGAAATTTACACCAAAAAAGATAACTACTTATTACATAGCAGACTAAACATTTATTGAATGCTTACTCTATCTGATTTTATGCTAAGCATACACTATGCTTCCCATTTACTATGTCATTGACTCCTGAATACATTCCTTTCATAAGAAATTGCAGGTTAAGAGGCACAGAGAGGTATAGTAACTTGCCCAGGAGCACACAGCTAGAATGTTGCAGAGGAAAGCTAGAAGCCTGTGCCATGTGACTCAGAGTCCCCGCTCTGATTGCCTTCCTCTACTGCCCCCTGTGATGGACACTGGCAGGCTTGGAAGTGTTTGAGAGACAGGAGGAAGAAACATTCTGTGGGCTGCAGGCTCCGCCAGGAAGGCTGCACTAGTCGTGGGTCAGGAAGAATCAAAGAGTTGAGAGGAGTGAGGAGTCCTGACCAGGGGAAATCCCAAGTAGAGATGAGGAGGTGAGACCGGCAAAGAACACGTAGAGAAGTCTAGATAGACCTTCTGGCTGGAGTGGGTTTCGGTCACAGTGAGTGTGCGCAGTGGCGGGAAAAGGGATCCCCAAAGAGATCACCCTGTGGCGCGCTTCAGTGCTAGACTCAGGAGCTTCTCAGGAATGTCTGGGAGGAGGGGGCCATAGGGGCTGGGAGCAGGAGTGTCAACACTGGGAGAAATATCCTAGGACCTGTCATGGGGTCCTCTGCGCTCAGACACAACTTAGGTGAGCAGACAGGCCCTTGAGGAGAGCGGGCACTTGGAGGGGGGACTTGTCTGAGAAGGGAGAGGAGCACAAGTGACACCGTTCTTCACAGCCACAGGTCCAGAGCAAGCCCCGGCCCCCCCGCGGCCCTACCAGGGGGTGCGCGTGAAGGAGCCGGTGAAGGAACTGCTGCGGAGGAAGCGTGGCCATGCCAGCAGCGGGGCGACCGTCACGCCGACTGCGGTGAGGCTCTGCTGCGGAGTGTGGGGCGGGGTGTGAGCAGGACTGTGCTCCCTCGCCCCAGGGGTGCGCTTTAGGGCACCAAGGCAACCCACTGCCGTGATTACGGCTGCTGGAGAATGGACTTCGGGAAGAGGATGACACCAGTTCCCTAGGCGCACAGCCTTCTTGCTAAATGGAAACAGGAATCCCTCAAAATTGTAGATTGGGATGAGGGTGTGTGTTTTGTTCTAACAAGGCAGATTCTCCCCTATACTGTCTTGCCCCGGGCCCTCGGGGCAAATTTTCCACAGTGGGTAGCTGGAGATGGCTGAACACTGATGCTGATCTTCTTCTCCCTCCAGGTGGTGCTGCCCCATCAGCCCCTGGCCACTTACACCACAGTGGGTAAGAGCTCCCAACCACCCTGGTCTCCTCCAGGCCCCTCATCTGTGGCACCTGCAGCTCCGTAACTTCCTTCTTTCCACAGGTCCTTCCTGCCTTGACATGGAGGTCTCCACCTCCACCATGACGGAGGAGGGGGCCCTGTGTGCCGGCTGGCTCTCTCAGCCTGCCCCTGCCACCCTCCAGCCCCTGGCCCCGTGGACACCCTACTCCGAGTATGTGTCCCATGAAGCTGTCAGCTGCCCTTACTCAGCAGACATGTATGTGCAGCCTGTGGGCCCCAGCTACACAGTTGTGGGGCCCTCCTCCGTGCTGACCTACGCTTCCCAGCCACTCATCACTAATGTCACGGTATGTCACACAAAGGCTCATGCCTCGGGCAACGTTTTAGGACGTGGGCTGGCTTCCTGAGTCTTGATCTTTCTTGCTATTGATTCCCAGGATAATTAGGTCATCTAAGCTCACCTCATCCTCCCAGAAGGCCTGCTCTTATTCCCATTGACCTAGAATATCTTCCACAAAGAGGGCTTATAGCCTCCCTTGCCCAATGCTCCTCGGGGTCGGGACATTCTGCTTCTCTGTCCTGAAGCAGCCCTGCTGCTCTGGAAGCAGTGAGTCTTGGTTACAAGTTAAATTTTTTTAGTGAATGGGGTACCATGTGAGATCCTCATGGTGTCTCTTGCCAGAGCCAGCTTTTTCTTTCTATTCAGGTAAGTTAATGGGTGATCATTCACTTAACAATGGGATTTACCAGAGATTTCTAGGCTGAGCAACATGTGATAAACACTTTTAGAAAACTGTACTTTTGATAGCATCTGACCCACCTGCAGGGTAATTTTTTGAATTAATGCTTCTAGTATCAGAGTGCTTGGGTTCAAATCCCTGACTCTGGGCTCAGTGAGTTAATTTGTCTACTACTCGGTGTCCTCATCAGTACAATGGGAATACTAACAAGAGAGTTGATGTCAGGATCAATGGGATGATGCATGTAGAGGTCTCAGCATAGTTCCTGGCATGCAGACTGCACTCTAAACACTAGTTATTAAAATTGTTTCAAAGTCGACCAACACCATTAACCAAGGGCTGCCTTCAAGTGCCAGATAGGAAAGGAATGGCCTGCTCCCCAGGAATGGAGGAAGGTATAGAGATAGTTTGATGTGAATGGTACCTGTTTGATCAAAGCAATGGAAATCCCCTGAGTGTTCAGGGAAGCAAAGGCCTCTGCTTGCAGCTCTGTCCAACTTTAGTCCCAGGAAAACTGGGAAGTGGAGCCGGAGCCTCATGAGTAGTCACAGAGCCCACCCTTGACCATGAAGCTTGCTTTGGTTCTCCAAGACCCCTGCATTTCCCTCAGGCGTTCAGTGTCATCCTGCCTTTCAAGCCTCATCCAGGAGCCCTCCCACCCCATACCCATGTGGCCACCCGTTGTGAGGCCTGAATGGCGGTGGATAGAAAGGAGTTAATTCAACACCTCTCCCAGGCAACTAACTTATTTGCATATCAGTGGCCTTGGTTGTGGGTAGGGGTGGCAGACTTAATGGTTCCCTACCATTTCATGACCAAGGATTATTTTTATTATTTATCCTTTCATCATTCCAACCTCCTGCTTTGAAAGTTTCTGTGTATCAAACAAACTATATTTATTAAGATATAATTTATTTGTTTTGCTGTATTGTAAATTGACTCATCAAAGCTGGTTAGAGATACCCAGTGGGCACTCTTGATCAGCAGGAGATAAGAGCTGTTATGGTGCTGGTTGATGAAATTCTATCCCTGAGAAAAAGCCTCCAGTTACAGTTGACCTGCACAGGTTTATAACTCTAAAATGAAGGGTTTTCATTAGATTTTTGAAATAGTGAAAGTAGTAAAGCCTTTTAGGGAAGCCGGAAGGTCTCTGAGACAATTTCCAGCTCCCATTCCATAGGAAAAGCCCTTAAGCTTTGCTGCTTAATCTGTGATCCCTGGATCAGCCACATTGACATCACCTGGGATCTGATTAGACATGAAGAATCCAGGCCCCACCCCTGAGCTCCTTTACTGAAATCTTTGTTGTAACAGGGTCCCCAGGTGATTGACATAAGTTCTTCCTAAATAAATATAATAATTTTGTCTCAAGACATGGTGGCAGCTGGAGAGAAGTATGACAGGGAAGTCGGGGGTGGAAGGGTGAGATTTGACCCCTCACACATCATTCCATGCACAGACATTCCTCTTCCACCTGTTTCCTCAACAGCGGGAGAAAGTAAGATGCAGGCCCTGTCTGTCTCTGAGGCTTGACCTCGGGTTTGTAGGGCGGTGAGGGGTGATGTTTGTAGAATACCTGGGGGCACGGCCCTGACCTTTGGAGGTCCCTGCAATGGCCATAGGGGCCCAGCTCAGAGACAGAGGATGATGAGGTCATGAGAGGTGAGTGGAGCGTGTTATGTTAGCCCAAGGGGTCCTCAGAATGCTAAAGCTGCTGTGTGGAGACAAGGCTGTCTTTATCTCTGGGTAGGACTGTGGCTACCTTTGTGACACAGCTACTATGCTATGGGACAGGCTTATTGTTTAACATGCAGTATTTTCATTGATTTTAAAATCTCTGAAATTGGAATGCATTTTATATTCAATGAAATAGGTTTCAGATGGGGAAGTAGCAAGGACGTAGAGCTTGTGAGTCACGCAGTCAGGGATACAGAATTGTGTCTGGCTTCTCCCTTCAAGGAGACTTTGAGTAGGTGGAAGGGAGCCCCCTGGAGTGAGACAGCAGGAAAGAGCCTAGTTGAGGAGAAACAGATCCCCTGGAGGACAAGGGTGCACAGTGGTTACTTCAGGGCTGCTAACCCCGATCCTGTGTCTCCCCGTTCACAGACGAGAAGCGCCACCACACCCACAGTGGGGCCTCAGCTGGAGGGCCCAGAGCACCAGGCACCCCTCACCTACTTCCCGTGGCCTCAACCTCTGTCCACACTGCCCACCTCCACACTGCAATACCAGCCTCCAGCCCCAGCTCTGCCCGGGCCCCAGTTTGTCCAGCTCCCCATCTCTGTCCCTGAGCCAGTCCTTCCAGCCATCAATTCCCTGACCATCGACAAGCTGCTCTTGGAGGAAGAGGATAGTGACGCCTACGCGCTCAACCACACGCTCTCTGTGGAAGGCTTTTAGGCCTGGCTCCCACCTGAGAATCCTGCTCCCTGAAACTGAGACTGAACCTCAGATTTATATCTGTATGGGGTAGCCTTTTCGTAACTACACTTTTTACTGCAAACTAGAATTGTAAACTGACATCCTTCCTCCCTTCCTCCCCATCTCCTTCTTTGTTTCCCTCCCTTCCTTCCTTTCTCTCTTCCTCTCCTGTTCTTATTTCCCCTGCCCCCATTTCTGTTCCCTTTGGGGAAGGATTTATAAGGATTTCAGGCAGAATATTTGATGGCAAGTGTTGCAAATCTGTAGTCCAGGTGCTTTCATTCCTGGAGAAGGCCCCTCTCTGGAGTGTCTACTGCTTCTGGAGCAGCCCTGCTGAGCCAGCTTCATTTGGGCACTGCACTCTGTCGTCTTGACTATATGGGGTGCCCTGCAGGAAAACTGGCCTTGCCAGAGCCTTCAAAGGCAGACCCAATGCCCCAGTTCTTGAGCTGTCAGTTCCACAGTTGCTCCTTTGTTTTCCATTCTCAGTGTTGGCCGGATTTACAGTCTATGCAGCAGAGTCTCAGGGCCCAGGGCCCAGGGGATGGTGAGTGGGGGTGGGGGAGAAAAAGGATCTCCAGAGTGGGTTGGGGCCTGGTCAGAGGGACAGAGGAGTGATGGGCACATGGTGTGTGTATATGGGGTGTGTGTATAAGGTGCAAAGGGAAATGTCGGGGGGAGGGAAAGGTTGGGTTTTAGGGGATAGTAGAGGAGCTAAAGAATGGTTTAGCTCAATAAACTTAAGAAAAATTGTCTTTTTATTTGTTTGTTTTGTGACTCCTGACCCCAAGATATTTTTCTATTGATTTTTTTTTAAGAGAGAGTGAAAGGGAGGGAGGGGGGAGAGAGGGAGAGGGAGAGAAACATTGACTAGTTGCTTCCCGAAAGACCCCGACTGGGGCCAGGATTGAACCTGCAGCCCAGGCATGTGCCCTTGACCAGAATCAAGGCTGACATTCTAACCTCTGAGCCAAACCAGCCAGGACAATAAAATTGTCTTAATAGGTGGTTTTGGTACTCTCTTTGAGAATACTTGCAAGGAAAGCTGAGCTCTTCTAAACAGGATGAGGAGAGTGTCAGGCTATTTGTTCCCGTGTCCAGACCCTCCATGGTGCTGTGTCAGCCAAGACCAGTGGAGGCCGGGTGCCTGCAGCCTTGTTGCATGCTGTCACCTGTGCTCTGCAGTGTCTTAAAAGCCTCATATTCATATATACATATAGATATATATGTATGTACAGACAATAGTGCGGTGAAGGATGGGGGGTGGAGCAGGGCAGAGGAGATCAATGGGGGACAAAAGGCGGGATATCTGTAATACTTTCAACAATAAAGATGTATTTTTTAAAAAGGCCTCCGTAAGCCACCAGTATGTGAAGCCAAGTATGTTTCCCCAAGCACCATACTTCCCAGGAGCTTCAGCCAGAGTACAGGTAGATTTCATTCTCATTTTCTTTCTTCTTTTTGCTGGAGAAACATCAGATTTGCAGGGGCCTGGACACAGTTGTCACTGGGGGTGCTGGGCTCCTGACAGTGGCTATGTGCTTTGGAAACTGGTGCAGCCATCCACTAGTGCCGTCATTGTCACTGTTAGGCAGACACATTGTTGGTGGAATCCATGTAGAAATGATGTACTTTTCTGGGAAATGATGGTTTCTTTGACACTTTTTTTTTATTATTATTTTTGCCATTTCATGTAAAACTCTGGAGAAATTTGCTTTAAAAAATTTTTTTTCTGCTTTGGGTTTATTTTGATCCAAATTTCTCAGTATCTGACTATAACCCCAATACAAATACCTTGAATTATATTTATTCAGACTTAATTTTTAGATGTAAAAGCTTAAGAGAGCATCTCAGATGATGATTTTTTAATCTTTGTTGCTAGTGATGGTGAGTAGGCCCTGGTGATGATTAAAAGCCTTGTTTTTTTAGAAAAAACACTATGCAAGATTTTTTTTATCTTAGTGTTTGACAGTTTGAGAGGACGCAGAAGCAATTTCCATAAGAGAGTGTAAATTGGCAAAAACTGGGGAAGGAATAAAGTACTTTACGTATTTACTAAGATTTAAATGGTGTCTTTTTTTCTTGTTATCTTGAGGTAAAATATTTTGGTTGCAGCAGTCCATCTAGGTTTCTTTCAAGGTGTTTTCTGCTAAGTTGGAAACATTTGCAATAAAGACTTGCTCAGACTTTTCTGTGCCAAAGTGTTTTATTTCTTATCAAATTAACCCCAACCCCGCTTAGCTTGCAGTCCCATGTCTTGGCAGTGTCATTATAGGAATGAGCTTACACCAGTCTTGTTGATTTTGCAACTTGATCTGCAAAGGAAGATAAAGCCAGACCCACTGTGCTGCAGCCCAGTTCTCCCATGCAGAATATATGAGGCCAGTAGGTGGGTCTCCAGGAGAGCAGGGGTTTGAGGAGAGGAAGGAAAATTTTTTAACCCTATTGCTCTTCCTGTTGGTCATGTTACATGAGTAACTTCTCATGACCCTGACTTTACAGGGATAAATTCAATCATTGGCATTTCCACAGCAGGCTCTTAGAGTCCATCAGTCAGAACCCAAGGGCATGTGACATTATAGAACACTATGCTCAAAGGAAGCCATCTCTTTGGGCCAGACATCACAATGAAATGGAAAATTAAGCCAGCCAGTTCCAGCCAGTTCCCTCTAACACTAGTCCTTAATCTGAATAATGGTTTGGAGAGATCTCCTTTTCCTGGTGATTTTCTGAGTTTACTAAGAGCTTCTGAGCTCATTGTCTTCATTAATCTTTACTAGGTAATTAATATTATTTTTTAATAATCCACCTTATTCTTTCATGTCTTGTTTTCAGATTTCTGGATGATAGTACATCAGTTATTTAGCTCACTTTAGATGGTCAGAATTTTCTTTTTTTGCTTATTCTCCATGTTGATCATAATCCAGAAAAAAACAAACAAACAAACAAAAAAACATGGAAGAAAAGGGACTTAAGACTATTTTCTCCCTAGCTTTTTCATTTTTAAATACTTACCTGGGGATGTGTTTATTGATTTTTAGAGAGAGAGGAAAGAAGAGAGAGAGAGAGAAACATTGATTGGTTGCCTCCCATACCTATTCACCTAGACCAGAGTTCAAACCCACAACCCAGGTATGTGCCCTGACTGGGAATCAAACCCAAAACCTTTCAGTGTATGAAACAACCCTCCAACCAACTGAGCCACCTGGATGGGGCCTCCCTAGCTTTGCTGAGGCTGGACTATAGGAAAAGTTATTTTAAAGATATTAAAGAAGTGTGGACCACTTGATCAGCAACGTGAGGAGGGTGACCAGCTTAGCATAGATTGGTGCTTTACCAGATGTCAATGCCTGAGTATGTACTTTCCATCAAGGAATAGGAGAGCAAGAAAGAGATAAGCTTGTGGTGAGATGAAGAAGCTGGATACCTACTAAAGAATGAAATCACACAGAGTGGCTCACATTCTCTGATCATTAGCCTGCACCCATCTCCATGTGGACGTTTAAAGACATGTACTAAAGGTAAACATGAATTTTTAGAAATCAGAAATCATAGACACTTATTTCATATTAACGTACTTCATTTGTGAGTCAAATATGAGGCACTCTATAATTCGTCATTGAATTGAGTTGATTTGGGAGATTCTCTATTACACTCCATTTAGGAAATGCTGATATGGATGATTGCAATTGATTATCATGATTTCTCCTTTGCTAGAGTTAGAGATACATGATTTTCTCAGATTTGTTTTTTTTTCCTGAATGTTTGCTTGGGTAGAAAACATTCATAAACTGATGTTCTCAATCCACTTGTCAGCTTTCCATTCATAACTATCATTGCCATGGAAGGGCTTCACATTTTTTTAAATTAAAAATTTCTGAATGTTGGTAAGAACACTTATCACATTTCAAGTACAATATAGTACTTTTAGCTATAGGCACAATGTTGTCCATCAGATCAGAAGAACTTACTCATCTTGCATAACTGAAGTTTTGTACCTGTTGTCTGGCACCCCTTACCCCTACCCCTGGTAACCACCATTCTATTCTTTGCTTCTGTGAGTTTGACTATTTTAGATGCATCATATAATTAGAATCATGTAGTTTTTGTCCTTCTGGGAATAGCTTACTTCACAGAATAATGTTCTCAAAACATTAAAAAAATGTAGTATATACATGTAATGAAATATTATTCAGCCTTAACAAAGGAAATTTTACAATATGTGACAACAACTATGAAAATTGAGAAAATTGAGAAGGGATTTATTGACTGAACATGTTATTGAGCACCAACTCTGGGCTGGCAGGCATCATGAATTATTATACATTTCTGCTTTGAAACAGTTTTCTACCTCAGTGATTTTTTTATTTTTAGTATTTGTACAATTTTTACTTATTATTAAAAATTGTATTTTGCCATTTCATATAAAACTCAGAAGAAATTTGCCTTAAAAAAATTTTTTTTTCTGCTTTGGGTTTATTTTGACCCAAATTTCTCAGTATCTGACTAAAACCCCAATGTAAATATCTTGAATTATATATATTCAGACTTAATTTTTAGATATAAAAACTTAAGACAGCATTTCAAATGATGACTTTTTAAATCTTTGTTGCTAGTGATGGTGAGTAGGCCCTGGTGATGATTATAAATTGTATCTCTGAACTACTCTATTAATATAATATCTAGTATAAAATACTCACAATAATAGAAATTTAAAAATATAAAGTGAATATAAAATACAGTAATATTTTTATTTATTTCTTTTATTTTTTATTTATTTTTTCAGTATTTAACTATTTTTATTCTCTGATTTAAAATAGAAAAAGAAAAGGAAGGGGAAGAAAATATTTTAACTATTTCATTTATTAATGGTAGAAAAATCCTTTGACCTTATTAATGATAAATAATATTTAGAAGAAGGAATGTTATCAAATATATCTAATTACTTTAAAAATCTTTGTGATACACCAATTTGAAGATCTGGGTCTAAGTTCAATTGATATCAGTATTTTGAATGGTTGTCATAGCTGAAAAAGATGCAACACAAGGCCATTCAGGTCCAAATGAGAATAGTGTATCATTGGTTGTGCTAAATATTACAAAAATCATTTTAAAATTCCTTCCATCAATTATGCAAAGGTTATGTTTTAAAATTTGGCTGGTAAATTTTCACCTTAGCTGAAGTCAACTATTCTTACAATTGACGGAATGTGTCACCTTTTCATATGTTTAACACATTGAGTCAAAGCCACTTAAGTTATTTAGAAAATTTTAAACAAGTTAAAAAGTCAGCTACTACTTTTTTAAAAAACAGTGTGAAGATCTGAGAGTTTTTATGGGTGTCATACACCTATACTCTTTTTAGCAAAAATATCTCATAAAAACAAACATTCTTAAACATCCCCTAAACTTCCACTTTCTTAATCTTTTCTTTCATTGCATGGGTTTCTAGAAGTTATCATTAAAATGTTATCTTTACCTTGATGAGCCAGATTAAATTAAAATTGTGTTTATTGTTTTTAAAATATCTGGAGGTAACTAACATATTTTGGATAGTCAACTTATCAACCAAAAAAGATCAGCAAATTTAGTATAATTATATTTGCATTTTAAAAAATATGTAATTTATATTTAAGTTTGATAGTTCTTTGGAGTCTTTTTTCATGAGAAAGTCAGTGAGTCTCTTTTCAGTGCAAAAGAGTCTCT